TTGCCACTTCAGCTTATTGCTCCGTGGAGCTATGTCGGTTACTCTGATTCACACGATATCTTCATTACTAATTCTATAGAACTATATGTTATAACAGAGAAATTTTAAGCATAGTCCTCTCCATACATCGCCGAGAGACCTTGAGCTACCTCACACGGCCAACAACGAAGGACCGCCACATTACGGTTCCGTAAGTCCATCACTGGCAACACGCACTGGTTCTACATTTTTGTATTACGGTTCTGAGGTATATTGGTTAAGAAGATTCATCGCAATTTCCTGAACGCTGTCCGGCCGAGGTTGATTCGTCAGTTGACCGGATTCGGATATTTTGTCCAGTTATACATACTCATCACTAACTTTGAGCGTAGTGTTCCCAAAAACTACCGGTATAAGTGTGACATGGATGTTAGACATCATTTTTGTCTTGTCCATATTCATCTTAAGACTTACTTACTCAGGTACTAATGAGATATTTTAGTATAATATCGTCCTTCGAGAATTTTGCCATTGATATTAATACCGCACACTTTCCAATCCAGTAACTTGAAAACGTCTTCTAATGCAGCAGTAAGATTTTGAGCGATATAACGTCCCGTTGTCTTACACTTCTCTGCAGTTGGACAGGTTTCATACTCTGTTTAGGTATTTGTATACGGATAGCTATCGTAACCTTACTGCACAAATATATTAGCACTTCGACATACCGACAATAGGGAGAAGAGTATGTATGTGGTCTATGGTACAAAAGCCTCCGCAACACGGGCGTCAGCTACCAGCTTGTTTGGAAGACAGGAAGTCTTCGTCTGAGTTCAAGACGGTTCATAAAAACTCTCGAAAATAGCACGTAGCTGTGGCTCAGAAGAGAAATCGGTCTGTATTTCTTCAATTGGATTTTACTACCTTTCTTGAAGAACATAATTATCACACTTCTGCTCCACGTCTACGGCGTAGCACAACAGTTAAGGATGGAATTAGCTTCAGGAAAACTTCAAGTATCGGTTCTCCAACCGCTTTTAGAAGCTCTGCTGTAATCCCATCCGCACCCGACGTTTGGCCGTTCTAAAAATTGCTGGCGAACTATTCTAAGCTCGCTTAGACTAACCTCCGGGATATCATCGGATACTCTAATGGAATGGAACTCTAAAAGCACTAGTTAAGCAAATTTATTTGAAAAAGGTTGTTATAATAATATTTAAAACTTCACACAGCGCACAAATCATACACTTTTAATTTAAAATTAAATATAGTAAAATCTGTCTTAAATAATTTAAAACAATAGGCTTAGTATCTTAGAGACTGAGACTAATCACAACTTCCAACAAAAATTAAGCTCCTAAAACCAGGAAGATTAGAATGTTTAAAACAGTGCCGGTATCCCATTCAATTCCCAAAGCGACGTTGAGGGTTGCAGCGGAAGGGCCGTTCCGCGTCGGCGCGTACACCGGAAACGCATCCGGGACGTGGCGCGCCGCAGCGCCGCACAATGAAACCTCCCCTTTCCTAATCCCGAAACAACGCACTCCCACGTCATTTTGTTACTGTGCAGCTTCTGATAACGGTTATCATAATATAGGTAGTGGATTAGAGTGGTCTGTAGATTGGAGTGGATAGTTGGTTGAAGAGCAAGTGAACTTTGAAGATTTAAAACATTTAGATGTCATTAAGTTTTCTTGAAAGCGCTTACTGTTAATAAATATTCTTATTATTTTCATAACGTTCTTTTCAAATGTCCACTGTGTGTGGTAAAATTACTTATTATTTACTAATTGTTAAATTAAGGAAAATATAAATAGTAGTAAGCCGTTTAATGGCCACAATATTATCCACTATCGCCCTATGGGTGTCGTAAGAGGCGACAGAGGGAAATCAAACGGAAGATGGGCAGCAGCGTCTTTCTAATATCAAGATTCACCCAGATCAATCTCTGGCAATACTGTGTAATTGCGACAAAATTTATAATCTTAATGCATAGCAGCTTTACCAGTGCGAGGAATCGGTAATGCACTCACTATTACCAGCTCACTTGGCCAGCATGGCGAGTAACAGGAAATCTTCCAAGGAATGCTTACCAGCTTGGAAAGATTAAGATAGACGTCAAATGCAAATTAAGGGAATTGTTATAATGTAATGGAAGGTAATTCAAACAAGAACATTAAATGTTCTTATTAATTTGAAACCTTTACTTGTATAAATTCGAACTTTGGAGATTTATATTGAAGTCGGTTGTACAAAATTTTCAACTTTACCACTTGTTGAATCTTAAAACAGGCGGACTGTGTCGACATGATTTCCTTTTATAAAACGTATATACAAAGATATGTTGCATATTTATACTCAAACATGATGCGTCTCGTGTCGAGTAATCCTAAATAAGCAATTCCTAGAATGTGACACGGCTATCTTAGTGTTTTCCGGAACTGTGCGCTTGTCTTTATTAATAAAGTTCATGGTAAATTACATTTAAAACTCATAAAGGCCAAAAATAGTCATTAACTTGAAAGACAGGACAATGGACAAATGTGTTAGTACTTGGATCTGGTAACATGACTGGCTGTCTGGTCATTATTGTACATTAAAATCCGAGAGACAGACTACAGGGTTCTAAATACATAACAATTTTGTTACATATATTTTGTATGTGAGTTTAAATCCTAAAGATTTGGAAGAATCACCCAGAAAGTAACAGAAAAATTTAATTTGTAATTTTCAGTCTTGGATATAAGGAATAAAAATTGTTTCTCTGGGATGATCACACGATACACCGAATCTGTTTTTACTTTTACACTTAAATACTGATATAGATATAGTTTTATATAATGACATCAAAATGTATACCTAGTTTGTTAATGATATTTACTTTTACAAAATATACTGAGAAGTATAGAGTAGGTAGCTATGACGTCGATATAGTTCGAGTATGACTTCGAGATACTAATAATATTTTTTCTTTTACACATTTGCGTATTAAAAGGACCTATGCGGAGAAATTTAGCAATTTGAACGATATGTTTGTAAATTGTACCGAGTTTCCAAAAATTAATTGATTTGTCATTCTAATTGGTATTTTTGAAACCCGCAGGTAATATACTGTTTTATTAACTATCGTTAAAACATAAATAAGAGTCCTTATATTTATTTTACTTCTCCCATAATTATTGAATAAACAACGAATTATATTTGAAGTGGATACATGTAATTATAATTAGGAGTAGGTATGTTTTGTGTTGATGCTTGATGCTGATTTTTTATTGTATGTAAAAGTTTACATTTTTATTAACATGCTCATTCAAATAATTAGTTTTCTAGAGGTGTCAATGCTTGTAATAAATAACATATTACGTCAGAAATATTTTTCCAAGTTTCAAAATTTAAAAGCAATAAAATAAATAGAATACAATTAATGATAATGCACGTACGTAGAAAGATGAGTCAACAAACGTCCGAGTTTTACCTAATAGCAGAGCCATCAATGAAACAGAAGTCTACAATATCATATCATTTATGAATAAACGCGTACCTGATAAGGCAACTGCCTACGACACCTAATAAAATATTCATCGCACTATCGAAAGCAACATGAAACTTTAGCAAAGTTGACACCCAGCGGTTCTCATAATTGTAAATATAACCGGCCTGTTATGGTTATGTACTAAATACCAAAGAGCCAAGCGAGGGAAAACAACTCCTACGTATATAGTACTCGCAGTAATTATTCTTAATTCAAGCTAACGGCCGTTAATTTTTACTCATTCACAACTGGACGAGCCTTGACCCAGTAAATTTGTTTGCTCCCTAAATATGCAGGCAATCGCCCCCGTCCTATAGATAATACCGGAAGCCTGTCCGGATATTCAACAAAGCGACCGTTATTCCGGTCAAAGGACCACACTATTCTTATATAGGTATGGACGGTTACAAAAAATATGAACCATATTTTATGACTATTGACCGTTTAAATTACCTACAATAGGTAATAAGTTTTCACAACAAGTGTTAAATTAAAAATTTTGTACAAAATGAGAACATCATCAATGTAGTTTAAGTCAATTAAATACGCATTATTAAGAATTGCTCAAAAACTAAAAGAATCATCAAAATCGGTTCACCTAGAAAAAAGTTTTTATGTAACACACATAAAAAATACAGTCGAATTGATAACCTCCTCTTTTTTGAGGTCGGTTGAAAACTTTAATAAAGTTACAGTCATAAACGTCTCACAACAGACGATAGTCCTCCTAGAAGCCCCAACATGTGTAGCCAGACTTCGTATGTCCTCGAAAAGTTTTTCAATTTCTTAGTAATGCAGGTTTCCTACGACCACGTCCTTTCACCGCCAAGTAACTGGTACTTAAAATTGCAATTAACATTTACAGTGGTGCTAACAACGGGCAAAAGTTTACGTCTAGCGTTATGGCTGATTTACACAGGGATAGTGGGTACAACTGGCTCCAAATTCGAGGCAAGTCAGTGCTGACCCGCTACTGGCATATAATGTAAATTGATTTGAAGTTAGTACAGCACGTTTATAGGTGGTAGAGCCATGCTGCAGCTATATTTCTGGTATAGTTGTAACACGAATGGGTCGGCTCGACCGGGGAAGGACCACGCTCTCACAGAATACCAGCGTAAAATAGCAGCTGAATGCTGCTGTGTTTCGTATGGTGAGTGTAGAGAACCGGAGACCCTTTTTACTGGAAACGAGGCATTTCATCTTAGTCTTCACGGGTGATAACGAATTTGCATTTTGATTCGTGATCAAGGATAAATGTAGATGTCTATGGGCCACAGCAACCACTTACCATCAGTGGACTGTGTGTCAGTAACAGTGCAAGTCAGTCGTCAGCGCTAGCACTGGCGCTGGTACTGTCCCCGTGTAAATCAGCCTTTATCCTCCGAGTTACGGTCCGGTAATTTTACATAGCCGTAGCAAACGAATACGTTTAGTTTAATACTACAGAATACTGCTTGTTATAGTGTTTAATACAAATTTTACCCACTTAAGCGTCCTCTCCATGGTAGAAGTGCGAAATATCTCTTCTTGGTCGAGTGACAACACGCAGTATATGTCGCGGTGGCACGCCGCGCCATTGTTACGAGCTGGCAAGTTTTTGGCTTCGCCTGCAATAAATAAGTACCTTGGTTACGGTTTTGTAGGCATATATATATGTCACCTAATAAAATGATACGTGAGTAAGACCGTATAGTGGCGGTGTAAGAATATCCACGACCCCATATCGTGGGTGTCGTAAGTAAGAGGCGACAGATGATGGCGATCACATGGTGTAAGGCGTGGTTTCACTAATTTTTACAAAAAAGTTGGTAAAAGTGTGGTGCCCAATCATACGGAGCTAGGGTTGCCAGATCGGAAGGCCAAAATATCTGAAAAACATTTGAAAATTTCGGGATTTTGTGGTTGTTGTCGGGAGAAATAAATACGAAAAATAAAAACGTAAAATAAAAAAATATTTTTTTTAAATTAATAGGCTACAAAAAGACTTAACATTGTTGACATGTAACCAATTTAATTACACTTAAATTTTAGGTTGTCACATGTATTTGGCATTGAACTTTACTGAGTCCCCCACTTTAGGTCTTTTAGTAGTATTCAGAAATTATTTAAAATTCAATCAATTTACTTGATTTAAGTTCAATTCAATTACTAACGATTTCTCTCTTTGGTTTATAAATTATATAGCAAACTAAACAAACACCCCTTTACAGTAAGCATTGCTTATGGGAATCGGCAACACAAATGATCTATTATTTTTCAAGTTTTAGGTCGTTTTGGTTGCATTTAAAAAATGCCGAAATTTTATCATTTTACATGTCCTTGTTTTTTGGCAGATGTTCAAGTGTTTCAAAGTCAATATCGTTTGAAATATTAAGTACGTCAGGCAATACGGATAACTCTTCCTAAGTAAATAAATTTGCAACTTGTAAAGACAATACAGCGAGTTTTTATACAGAGTTCTCAGAAAAATACCGTTCTTGCAAGTATTGAATAGCTCGTTTTAAAAATGTTCAGCTTTGACGCAAAAATGAGTTTTCTCACTATCGGAAACATTCCTTAATAAGGTTCTTTTTCTACTACCTAAGAATTTGTCATCCAACCTGTTTTTGAGATAACTCTTTAGCTTTTTCATTATATGTACTTTTAAGTTCTAGGGCAGTGCATGCAGTGCAGCTACAAAGAACAAAGTATAAATACGTTTCTGAAATCCCTTTTCTGTTTGTATTCGTCAACCGTTCACTATTATTATCAATATGGCTTATACTATTTGTAAGAAACTCTCATATTAATATCTCTTTTCGACATTCATCTTCCCTTTTCAACATAAAATACTGTTATACAGTAGACTAACAATACAGTAAATGATCTAAAGTGGGCAAAAGAGATCAGCAAAAGAGCCATCTTGTCGGGACATGACAAAGAAGAACGTGAACGCACGTGGCAATTTTAAATTATTATTTTGTATAGAACTTTCCGAGAAGCCGTTTGTCTGGAGATTTTGAGTTTTGTCGGGAGTCTGGAGATCATTCAAAATGTCGGGAGAATCCAGACGAATCCCGATCATCTGGCAACCCTATACGGAGCCCAGGACTCAAATAAGTACCACCACCAATAAATAAATAATGACAACATATTTCATGTTATACGTTGTACTTTTGTATCATTGAAGTATAATATGTACATATTACAAGCAGAAACTGCGATCTCACCCATTACAATAATTTGTTAGCACTTTTAACTCTGATTTCAAAAAAATCTCAGTTAAATATTTTGTACGGCTTTTATACCTGAACAATCTTTATTTTACTATTTTATAATATCTTAGAGTATAAATCAGCAAGAAAATATCGATAATACTTTATTATTACATTTTCTTACTGAGGTGTTTGACGTCCTAATGTCATGGTTAACCACAGCTACCTCCAGATTTAAAATTATTAATATTTGTTCCGATTTACGCAGTATGAACTTACAGTATCTTTAAGTCATGCAGTTGTATGCTTGGGTTGGGATTTAATTTTATTAATTATAGGATCCCAAGCATATGGTAGCACCCAGCCATCTTCTCTATTGAAATTGGGATGTTTTTAGATTTCAATAGCCTCGCGAATCATCCTTGGAAGGAATCGGTGTACTTTAGCGAGGATTCGTGGGCTATCAAATCGGATGTAGTGACGGGGGCGATCCTGTACGTGTTCACATACTGCAGACTTCCCGGAGCGTCGATTCTTCACATCAGCTATGCGTCGGAAATATAAAATAAATTAATATACGCGATAAAATCCGTAAAACTAGTTTTATTTAAATAGTAGATGTTATATTACATAATAGTAAAGAAAATCGGTCATTCTATTTCGTCATATAATGGCAGTAATTTTTGCTTTCACGCAAGACGTAAAATAAAAACCCGCGAGGGAAAGCAGCGTCACAGCTGCGAGACGTCTGGTACCTATTGCGATACCTAATGCACCTGACCTGTCGAGCGTGACAGTATAGCAAATCATTTCTACAACGTGTGAGAATTCATACCCATAACTTCATATTCAGCATTGTATATTACGGAAGATCATTTTAAAATCTACTTTCTCTCTGAGCAACAATACCGCCAGCCCTATCTAAGCGGGCATTTAGCAGAAGTTGAGTACGCGGAGGGTTAACTACGCTCTTAAAACAATTAAGAAAAGCACAACAAACGATTTTATTGCAGTATTCGTTACATACTAACAATATTAGTAATAACATAGTAATATAGTGATAAGAATATTAGTTATTAATATTAAGATATTTGTATAAGAGACACACAGTGTGTTTTTAAAAAGTAGATTATGTTAACAAGAAGTTTCCAAATATGTGATAGTCGCTTACTTGTTTTACGATTGTCAGGAAGATGAAACTAGGATTATTAACTTCTTCGAAAAAGAAAACAATTAAAGATACGTGAGCACTATGGAGACCTCTCTGAATTTGTACCTTCATTAGAAAACAATGTCTTTTCATGTCACCATGTGACCCGCCTTGCCTTTTCAGTGCATGACGTCATCACGTCATTTGCGTAAGCGCACAATAGTTCCGATAATGGAACTCCGATGGGTTGGGCGGTCCTACTACCACGTCTGCGCAACATTATCGCGGACCCATCCACTGCTAACAATATCAATATACCATAATGTAATAAGTAAGAGGCGACAGATGGGAACTAAATTAGGAGATGGGCAGCAGCATCTTCCTGATAACTAAATAATTTAAAAATAAAACAGTGGCTTCCAAGCGTGACAAGTGACAACTATAGCCTCCATGAATATATATAGATTCCTTACAAGAGGTCTATGTTAAGCTTTGTATTTGTGAAGAGTGGTAACCATGATGAGATGATAATGATGGAAGTGAAAAATTAGAAGTTGGTTTAACCAACTCACAATAGGTGCACATTTAAACAAAACCAAACAAAACTTAAACTTTATTTCAAAACAAAATAATTCTCGCTTTCTTTCACTGAATACGAGTATGAAATATTTCATAGCGTCATCGTTTCATTATCTAACTACGCTTGAGTATATTACTAAATGCGACCTCGCATAGTTTTAATAAACGACTATGCTTTCACGTTGGTTTAGCATACGTCAGAGGAAGCAACAGTACTCGACGCTCACTTAATATGCACACGAAAGATAAACTTAATTGGAGGAGAAGTAAAAAGGCCTCATTAACTGAATGCCATTTTCATACAAACAATCTCGCGTGACACAGCTATTATTCAATGATGAAATTGGAATACAATCTGTAACGAAAACTATATCAAAATGAAAGTTTTTAGCATCTATAATTAAAAAAAAATTATATTGATATTAAAAAAATATCACTGGGAGAATTTGTTGAAAATGATGTTCAGCAGTGGACTTATAAAGACTGTAACGAATGAATTAATGAAACTATTTATCTGATATATCCTACGTCAACGTTGGCTTTTCGCTGAATTAACTTAACATAACTTGGTATTGTTTTTAATTATTTATTTTTTATTTTACAGAATAAGAGTGACCAACGAGCACACACAGTCCACCTGATGGTAAGTGAAAGCTGTGTTCCAAAGACATCTACATCTATCCTCGATTAAATATTGTTTCTTAATCGAGGATAGATGTAGAGGTAATAACGCTTACGTTATTATCTCAGAGGACTAAGATGGAGTGCCCCGTTCCCAGTAAAAAGGGTCTCCGGTTCTCTACACTCACCATACGAAACACAGCAACATTAAGTTGCTATTTTACGCTGGTATTCTGTGAGTGCGTGGTCCCCACCCTCTTACCTATTTCATATCTTTTGGTCCATCGCTTGCATAACTTTATCGCCTTAATTTTAATATGTCAATACGTATTTTAAATAAGGAACAATATAATGGCACAAAAAGGTACTCAAACGTATGTGGGGCAACCGAGCGACCTCGTCAGATATATCTTTATACGGTAAGCCAAGGCAAGGTGACCATCGGACCATAAATAAACAGCTCCTGCTCTGACTTTAAAAGTTTAATGGCATATTAACCATTTTTGTACTTAGATAAGAACAATTAGTAGATAACTTAGACACAATGCATATCAATAAAACAGTAAAAGAAAATCGGACAAGAGCTATGAAGACTCGCGAACTGAGGGTTTCGAATCAACTTTATTTTGTATGTAGATAGTTCATCCATACCGTGAATCAAGTTACGACGATTACATATAATATAAATTATATATAAAAGGTATGTAACCTTCACTTACGTTTTGTCAAACGAGCAGACTGATGGACGGACAACATAGTGATCCTACAAGGGTTCAGTTTTTTCCTTCTGCGGTACGTAACCCTAAAATGGTCGTAAGCCAAGAAAAATAGCAAGATAAGGCGATGTTGCGATTCCTTACAGTTCAATTAAAATACACATATATATTATGCACAAGCATAAGTACATAAACTCTCACGCCAGTCCAAGGTCCAGGTAAGCAGAGACTACGGACTTCCATTTGGCACGATACTGACACACCTCTCTCACGTCTTTTTACTACGCATACATGCTCGTTGGTTAAGGATACTCTTAATCTGGCCTAAAGCTTATTGCTCACAACTA